CCTCCTCCCCCACCCCCTCCTCCTCCTCTTTCTCTTCCCTCATATAGCATTTTTTCTATTAAATTTGGAAAACCAGTGATTTCTTCTTCGAGGGTCACATTGCATATTTACATAGTAATGTTTCCTAGAAGTCCTAGAGGAAAGGAAAAAAAAAGATACATTTTGATTAGACTACTTTTCTAGGCCAAAGATTTATTGGGTGCTTTCTGTGTGCTAGGGACTATGCTATGTCCCTTCTATGTCCACTTTATGTAATTATCACATCAGTCCTGTGGTATAGATATTATAACTTACCATTTTACAGGTGTGGAATCAAGGCTCAAGGAGGCTGAGTAAGTTGTTCAGAGTTAGGAATGAAATTTAGCCACCTCATTCTAGGGCTGAAGTCTCTTCTGCTCCCCCTGATACTTTTTGCCTTTCAGCTTCATTAAGGCATTTTATTGGCTCTTTCTACCTTTGGTGGTTATTGCCATGTCTCGGAGTATTCACATACTTTATTTCTCATTTTAAGTATTTTTCTAGATGACAAAATTAAAAAAATAATGTCATCATACCATTTCATATCCATTAGGCTGGCTATTTGGTGAAAGACTCAAGAAAACAAGTACTCTGAAGGATGGGAGAAATCAGGACTTTTATGTACTGCCAGAGGGAAGGTGAGTTGACACAGCAAGTTTAGGAAAGATCCTGGCATGTCCCCTCAAAGTTAAACAAAGAACCAGCATTCCCACTGCTGTTTATTATACCCAACAAAGATGAAAATATGTCCCACAAAAACTTGTACATGAATGTTCACAGATGTATGAGCACAAAGGTAGAAACAATGCAAATGTCCATCAAGTGATGATTAGTTTATGCTGTTTTTCTAGGAGTGATTATCACATGGATTGGAAAATCTTTCAGCTCTAACTTGTTTCACCATTTTGCTTTCTAAACAGGCTGTGCTGAATAACATTTCTTATTAGAAACAAATAGTACTTGTTTTTTCATTACTCTGTTTTCTCCCCTCCCCCTCCAACTGTACCCTGTGTTTACCATTGTGAAAATGTACTTGATAATCCCAGTAAGGCCTGGGCTATTCATCCCATTTAGGCATGGCATATCAAGAACTAAGAAAGCCATATAGAAGTTGACATTTTTAACCAGGGATGTAGTCTTTGGTAAAGGAAGGTGTTAGATCCATGAGTCAAAGGAAAAGAAAGCTTATATCACTAGCATTATTGATGCAATTTTGAAGTTATCCTACCCTATAATTTTCTGTCAGAATGTAGACATCTTCCATCATAGTTGCTTTAGAAAATAGCTATGGCTTTAGACAATTATTTTGGAGATTTTTTGGGTCCCATTTTGAGAAATGAATATGGAACAGCATTGGTCTTTGGTAGGCTGTAGTATTCATGCTCTCTTCTGAAATAGTTTCAAGGTAAGCATGATGTTTAAACATCCTTTCCATACTTCGCATGAAAAACAGTTCCTTCTTCTGTGGTGCATTCATATAACTATCTGCAGCAGTGGTTATTTTAGATAGCAGGGAAAATTGGTACCAGAAAGGATTGTCTCACCCAATGTTAGATATGTAGAGTGGAATAATATGTGATGGCTTGGTTTCAAAATTTTTGGTTTTAACCTGGAATGTTGAAACTCATCATTTTCTCTTTGAGATCATATAGTGGGGGCATTGGTATATGGGAGACTATGTGTGGTATACAGGAAGTCAGAACCAGAATTTAGCCTCTACTTTCCCTTTAATTATTCCTGTAAGACCCTGAATAAATAATATTCTGAGTTTCCTGACAAGAGTCCACATGGATTTACTGGTAGGAAAGTAATAAGAGAAAAAATAGTACTTGTGTGGAAAAGGAAATGCTAGATCATCTAAACTATTGGCTAAAACACTGTCAATGCCTGTAAACCACCAATGACAGCCAAGCTCACTCAGAAGGCAGACATTCATTACTGGTAATGCTTGAAGAGAAATAAGAAGGAGCAATAGAGAGAGCTTAGTGTGGATGTCAACTCCAACAGTCTCATTCCAAACTACTTGTTGAGTTGGAGAGTTCCCTCTACTGTTTAGGTCATATTCCTGAAGGTATGATTATGATAGCTTCTATTCTATATTACCATGGATCATCAAATAGAAGCTATTTTTAACAAACACAGGAAGAAAAGGACAGCATTTACATTGAATCAGGTTTCTACATGAGCATATGGATGGCCAATAACTGAAGAATTGGAGAACTAGGGATGATTATGTGGTGGTTAAAAAACCCATCTTATTCAATAAATCAGGTATTAATAGGATCTTCAAGATTAGGAAGTTGGAACTAAAGAAAAGCTGCAAGTAGTCCTGAAAGAAGATATATTCAAAACAGATTATAGTTAATTCTTAGCTCAGGGAGGGACTTTGTAAAAGAGACTTCAAGTAGTATCTTCTTACTGACAGGATACAGATTTATTATCAAGCAAACATCTATTACTTTTCAGACATCCTGGCTGGCACTTGACAAGACACTTTGTCATGGAGGGCATGTGCATATTATAAATATTGTCATTTTATTTTCAGGAGTCAGCAAGCTGCTCTTGATTCATGAGCTGCTTACATAATGTAAATGCTTAGTGCTTGCTAGTTGCATGGTTGAGTCAAGTATCGCAAGAACTCTTCTTTGACTTGGTCCTCGTTGCCAGTATGATTTCTTCTTTCCTTTTAAAATTTTGTAGCTGTATAACAAGAACATTGCACTGGATAATTTCAGAGGTATGTTCCAATGGTAGAACATACTTCTATATTTCAATAATATTTTTCCCTTTTAAAATGTACTCATTATTACTAATATCATTTCATATTTTTTGCCTGTGATTATATTTTACCCAAGTCTCAGAGGTTTCTTTTTTGTTGTTTTGTTTTTGATTTTTTTTTTTAGAAAGGAAATGGCTGGGGGTTCTTCAACCAGCTTTGCCAGAGAAGGGTGAGAATGGAAATGAGTAAGGAAGGGAGGAGGGTCAGTGTACCTCAGCTAGATCCTTCCCTCTGATGATGGCTTATATGTAGAAATAATCAGACCTTTAGAACAAAACCAGTACATTTTCTCTTGTTTTCTACCTTCAGTTTCCATGAATCAGCTTTCTATTTCTAAGCATAATTCCAAGAAAAAAAAGCTTAATGTTGAACTAATGTTGCATTTGTTAACATTCCACTTTGAAGCTGTTCTAGGTTTGACAGAGTTCAAGTCAATGAGCATCACTTCCAAAGAATTTTCCGGACTTTCATGACAGCCATCTACCTGGTTGTGCAATATGGGAGGAGCTTGTGTCCATAGCCTGACAGGTTTGGATAGCAAGCCACATTATTTCTTGGCTAAAGAAGGCACTAGGTTGTTCCCATTGGGAGCCAGGTGAAGTATAACCATTATCTAAGCATAGAAGGCTTAGATAATGCTGTTAGTGTTGTCTGCCTTTTCGAAGATGGTGAGTAGTTCAAGAATTTCTGGGATTCCTGAATACTTTATGTGTGCAAGAGTCAGTTGCTGGTTTAGGAAAGTGAGGATCACATGGTAAAGCCTCTCACTATAGAGAAAAAGCAACACATATTTTTTGTGTTTTTATAGCAATTTTTTATTGTGATTAAGTGATTACATAAATTTAACAAATTTCAGAGTATTGTGAGATAGTGATACTTAGTTAAGGTCACAAACACGTTCTAACCTTCATGGGGCAAATTGTCTTTATTGTGGTCTATAAAGTTTATGAATTCTATGAGCTTTGACAATAGTTATTTCCTCCACATCGGGTGATATGTACATTTCTTTCCTTTAAAGCAAAACATCTTATTAACACACCAGTATATATTTCTGAACTCATAAAGTTTATATATTTCTGAATTCATGAGTTTGGTATTGAGGATATCTAAAAGACAAAGACATGTCTATTTACCTCAAGCCCCTGTCTCTTATAGAAAAGATTAATGAGCAAACTCAAGATTATAGTAGTTTAATTGGAGTTTAAAAAGACCACTTCAGTCACAGTGATCATGACGAACTACACAGAAGAATCCAGAGTTGAATATCCTCTTGAGAAACCTACAGTAAAAAGGCCCAGAAAAGACATACCTAGGTTCAAGAGGGTAGCATATAAAAAAACACAGCCATTAAACAACAACAACAACAACAGCAATAACAACAAACGTTTCCCTCCCTTCTTCCTTCCTTCCTTCCTGCCTTCCTGCCTTCCTGCCATCCTTCCTTCCTGCCTTCCTGCCTTCCTGCCTTCCTGCCATCCTTCCTGGCATAAAAAACAAAAATAAAAATAAAAAATAAAGAAACAGAAAAGACAGAGGAAGTTGTGTAAAGAGTTTGGGAGGCAATCCTTGGAAATACTCGTAGGGAAGCAGGAGAGAGACAGGGTAGGGAGTGTGCTGCCCAGTCAGTCTCTAGGATGAGCAATGGAGTCTGATCTCACTGGGGATTTCTGGGGACAGTGTAGAATAGACCTCAGAATTATGTAAGAGGCCAGGGAACTGGGCTGTTTCTTCACAATCAATTGTCTATCTGTAGTAAGAGGGGACTTCTGAGATCAACTTCCAATTTGCTGTGTTCGCAGACTCATTGTACTCATAAGATCAGAGAACAAGGGGTTCATGGGAAGCAGCTATCAAGGTGTTGAGGTAAATGCTGAATGAAGATGGGTGGGGAGGGGAATCTATAAATCTTCTATAAAAGTTAATTTTTTTTTCTTGTGCCAGTACTGGGGCTTAAATGTAGGGCCGGGGCACTGTCCCTGAACTTTTGTGCTCAAGGCTAGTGCTCTACCACTTTGAGCCAAAGCACCATTTCTGTCTCTTTTTTTGTAGTTTATTGGAGATAAAGAGTCGTATAGACTTTCCTGCCTAGGCTGACTTTGAACAGGGTTCTTAGATCTCAGCCTCCTGAATAGCTAGGAATATAGGTGTGAGCCACAGACACGAGGCAAAAGTTAATTTTTGAGTAATTTTTTTCATTAATTCATAGGCACTGGGTTTTGTGTTTGCATTAATTTGTAGAAAATAATCCTAAAGATTAAATTAAGTCAGATTCTCAACAGAGAGTGATTTAGCCTCTCCTATCCCATATACCAAGGGTATTCATCAACCTCTACAACATTTTTGGTAGTCACAACTAGGATGGAAGGAGAGCCACTGATGTGTAGTGGGTAGGGCAGGGATGTCAGTAAACATTTTATAATGCCAAGGGTAGGCCATTCTTCCCCATCACATAAAAGCAGCTAAAAATATCAACGTGATTAGGTTGCAAGTCTGGTTAATGGGGCCAGTTAGTGCTATTGCAGAAATAAGAACTCTTAAGTTTGAGAGAAGTTCAATAATTTCCTTGGGTTTATAAATTCAGTGTATGGTCCCACCAGGATTTGAACTGAGGTTTGTCTGCTTGCAAAGTCCGTGCTTTTTGATTTCTGCTGGTCTGCCTTCCAGAGACTGAGTCCCAGAGGCTCACTGAAAAACAAAACAAAACACTCAAATCGGTACTGGCTTGGCCTCCTGGCCCCAAACTTCAAAGGAGCCTGGATCTGGCTGGAATTGGAAAGAGGTGGGGGAATGAACACCTTTCCCATCTTGCTTTGGCCTTGCTCTCTCTTGGGCAAGTTGGGGCAGGCTCTGTGGGCTTGAGTCCCAGATCTGCATACCAGGGCTGGCGAGGTGCCCTGCGCTGGAAGCCCAGACATCTTCTCCATGCACAAGGACACCGTTCTGCTGCCAAAGCTGGCTGGTGGTTCTTTCTGGCATGGCAGCTCTCCCTCCCCCCATCCCCCCAGGCTTGGGACGATCTTTCTGGCAAGCATATGTAGTGAAGAGTTACAGGTGGTGCAGACATGGTTTGGAAGGAGTCCCAGCTGGGCCACCTCCCAGGAGCCTTCTGATCACTCACCAGATAAGCCTAAGCTGCTTGCAGATTCCCAGGAATCTTAGCTGCCCCAGGAAACCAGCTTCAAGGGCACGAGAAGCTTTAGAGATGCTAGAATAATCTGGAAAAACCAAAAGTGCTCTGTCCTTTTGCTGCCTTATATTGGAAATAGTGTATAACACATTGAATTTTCCATCCCCCTCCACCTACTCCGTGATAGGTAGTAAGAAAAAGAATGAAAAGAAATGTGGGGCACACAAGACCAAAGAAGGCCAGGCTCAGATCTGATGACTCCATCCAGATACCTATAGGTCTCTGAATGTGTGTTGTTGCTTCTTTGGGCGGTGAAGTACAAATCATTTTTCTTTGTGCACAGCCTATGGGTTCTTTGTAAGAATGTTCAGCTTTACAGTGTGGAGTCTTCTGGTCTCCAGACCCACATCCTGTCCCGAGGGGAATTGACATCCATCACACAAGCTGATCCTGGTCTGTTTAATCAAACTTCCATTTGATGTTGGTTGGAATTTCACATGTGGACCAAATATAAGAAAATTAAATGATTCCAGCAGCTTAAGTCTAAAGGGAACTATTAACCTTTGGTATCAAATAAATTAAAACATAGTACATCTCAGTAATGTTTTTTGGAGGCAAATAGAAAGTCGTTTCATTTGTTCATTACTTCTGTTTTCCTCCATTCAGCAAGCAATTATTGAGTAACTACCATGTTTATTTGTTTAAGGTAGGTCTTGTGGATGATATCAGGGTAAATGTGATAAAGTTTTTACCTTTGGGGAGCTATGGGTTAAGTTTCAATGTGCTGTTATTTTGTGAATATGTTATTGCTCAGCTTAACCATCTTCTCTACAAGCCTATTTTTTTTCTTTCTCACTTTCCAAGTTTAGAATATTGGACTTTCCAGTTTTATATTTAAATGCAGACAAAGGCTTTGTGTTACTGCTATTTTTATAATTCACATTGTTTCCTTGACTACTAGTTAGTAAGTTTTTTCAACATTTATCCCCTAAATACTTATTTAGATACCTATAATATGTGTGACACTGTGCTGGGCATAGGGGATATAAAATGTATGAAGCAAACTTCTCACATTAAAGGAGTTGTAGTGACATATGAATAGAAGAAACACAGTCAGGAATCACATATCCTCTCATGGACCTTTGTATGTGCAAGATCAAAAGAGATCTGTTCCACGTTGGAGGCTAGGACTTTTTATAGAACAAGTATTTCTTAAGTTCAGGTGGAGCTGAGAGAGTGTATCTGTCGAGGAGAGAGCATTTCTGACAAAGAACACTTAGGAAGATGGTGAGCATACTTCATCATCACTAACATCATTATAACCATTTCTTCCAGCATTACCATTATCATTATCATAAGGAACACTTTCACTATCACCATCATAGTGCCATGTATGGTGATGACCTCTACCACCAACACTCATTATAACCACCATTGCCACCACCATCACAGTAGCCATCATAACCTTTGTTATGATGTCATCAGCACTTTCACCAGCACCACTGTTGGCTGAAATTTATTGGTCACTTATAATATTTAGGCAAAGTACCAAAAAAAGCACTTGATTTGTATTACTGTATGTAATCTTTACAACCTATGAACCAATCACTCTTCATTTTCTCAATTTATAAGCTAGAAACAGTGGTATGGAGATAAAATAATTTGCCTCACTTTATCTAAGTAGGACTCAAACTCAGATCTGCTTGTCAGAGAAGGTAAGCTTTGAATCAAGTCTCATAAGTCTTAACTACTAAGCTTTACAATTTTGATAGATCAAGGTGAGTGCTCTACCACTTGAGCCACAGTACCACTTCAAATTTTCTGGTGGTTTATTAGAGATAAGAGTTTCAAGAACTTTCCTGCCTGGGCTGGCTTTGAACTGTGATCCTTTGATCTCAGCCTCCTGAGTAGCTAGGATTACAGGTGTGAGCCACCAGTGCCTGGTGAGAATTGTGAGTGTGTGTGTGTGTGTGTGTGTGTGTGTGCGCGCGTGCACGCGCACGCGTGTGCGCATGCGCATGCGCACCTTGTCAGACATTTAAAAATTTTCATGTAAGTTATCTATTAAAATACTAAAGAAGATTATTCAAAGAACAAATCCTTAAGGGAGCCCTAAAGCAAGTAATTCTGGACATAGCAAAGTGTATGATTGTCCCAATCTGTTGTTCGTATTTTTAATCACATTCCACACTCTGACACTATGTGATCTGATGTGACCACAGGTATGGAATTTTATTGAGGTTTTCTTTCTTTTTTTTTTTTTGGAAGTCTCAAAACATTGCTTGTTACCAGTTATCCCTTATTCATATAATTAGAGCAAGTATGAAAATATAATCAATCCTAGAAAGGAGGATTATGCCGTTGGCTTTTAGTAAGTAAAGCTGCGTTAAGCATTTAAATGTGCATTATCTTATGAAAACATTGATGAACACACAGACACTGTGGGCCTTGATCACTGCTCTGGGTGACTTTGGAGCCTGCATTTCCACCCGCCTGCTTAGAAACAAGAGTAACCATGAATAGAATGAAAATGTAGGGAGAATATCAACTTCTCAAATGGACCTATCTTTTACAAACACTGTTTGGGAACCTAGTTTTTTTTCTTAACTTTTTATTTTTATGTATTTATTATTATTATTTTTATTGTAAAGGTGATGTACAGAGGGGTTGCAGTTACATAAGTCAGGTAATGAGTACATTTCTTTTTGAGCAGTGTGGAGACCTAGTTTTTAAAACCCTGTATAGAGAAGGCAGAGAAAACACCCAGTACATTCTCTGTGCCTGAGCGTCTCCAAGGTCCTCGGGGGTGGTGCTGGCTCTGGTCCCTGTGGTTTTATAATGCACTTTCCTCTCCCAGCCCACATTCAGACCTTGCTCTGAACACAATGGCATGTCTGCTTTCCTTCCACTAATGGGTCAAGTTGCCGACTTACTCTGTCTTCATAATTACTGTTTAGGTTAAAAAAAATCTAAAAATTTAATCAATGGGGCATGCTTAGTCATTGAGTATAGTTTTAAAGAGATCTTTATGACTTCTGCATAAAGTGTTGCAGGAGAGGGGGTTGAGAGGATGTGTTAATTTTTGAAAATCATATGCCTTTACTTAAATAAATGTAGGATATATTACTGGATGTGGAAGTATGTGGTTTATAAGCAAGGGCATCTTTTTCCTTTGAGTCGCTAAAGTTTATTTTGTTAATATATTTGAGGACTATATTTTATACTTCATTATTATGGTAAGGAATTTACCTACACCTATTTTCTTGAATTAGCTCTCTTCTATTCTTCTCTAATAGTTAAGTGGGGACATCTTGTTGCAGTTCTTTTCAAAAGAGATAAGCAAATAAAGTCACCAGCGATTCTGTGGAACTTGAACTTGTGGTGGGTGTATTGTTAAATAACAATGACAGTTTTCTTGTTCTGTGACCTTGGGACTAACTTAAATTTTTTTATTGTTATTATAAAGGTGATGTCCAGAGGAGTTACAGTTACATAAGCCAGGTAAAGAGTCAATTTCTTTTTTGGATAACATCCTTTCCCTTGCTCTCTCCCAGTTTTGGTTGTTCTTTTTTTACGCTCCCATCCGGGGCTAACTTTTTATTAACTCTCTGTCTCTTTTTGATTTGAAAGATGAGGAGGATACTCATAGCAACCTTCCTAAGGTTACAGAGAATATTAAATAACCAACACATATAAAAATGCTTTCCACAGGGACTGCCATAGACTCAGGGCAGCAGAAATGTTAGTTCTTCGATTTACTATTCACTAAGCACTTCATCCACCTGATAATCTCATCCCTGCCAGAACAGCTGGGAAGCCTCTGTTTGTTAACTGCTCTTTAGTATGGTTTTCAGGGAAGGCTGCCTGCTTGCTGACCAGGGATTTTCTTCTGCCCACAGAAACACTATCATTTTCTCTGTCGTGGCAGAAAAGAGGGCCTCGCCCACTAGGTTGCTAAGAGCCCAGCTCTCAGCAGCACTAGCTCAGGAGGCTCAGGAGGGAGTGGTTTCACCTTTCTAAGGGAGGGGAAAAATTCTGCTGATTTTATAAGTAGGGAATTCTGCTTATTGCCTAAGAGTAGTGTCACTCTATGTTCTCAGATCCTTCTAGAAAACTAACATGAAAAAGAAATCATTGTTCTCTTGTTTCTAGATTGCTCTTTAATTAGTAGGTTTGAATGAACACCCTGCCCTCCCCCCTGCCCTCCCCCCTGCCCTCCCCCCCTTCCGTGCTCTGCTTACCCAGTGATTGTGTTAGGGTTTAATGACTTGATCAGTTGTTTGCACTTGTACTTGTCTCAGTTATTTGATACTTTTTTGCTGTAGGTCAGAGACCAGACATTCTGGTTTTGCAGGGACTGTCCCCGTGACATGGCTCAAAGTGTTTCTTTTTAGCCACCATATGATGTAATGTGGCCTTTTATTTCTGCCCTGGCCTTACACAGACTGGAGACATGAAGTGATTGCTCTTGCAAAATGTTAATTGGAAGGATTAAACATCATCTGCTTTCTTTCTTTCCTTTCCTTTCTTTCTTCCTCTTCTTTTTTTCTTGCTTGCCTTTTCCTTCCTCCCCCCTCCCTTCCTTCCTTCCTTCCTTCCTTCCTTCCTTCCTTCCTTCCTTCCTTCCTTCTTCCTTCCTTCCTTCCTTCCTTCCTTCCTTCTTCCTTCCTTCCTTCCTTCCTTCCTTCTTGCTTTCTTTCTTTCAGCTGAAATTGATATTGAGAAGACAGGGGAGCTGATAACTGTAGCCTGAAAAACCCAACTGTAACACAACTTCTACAAAAGGAATGGGCACAGGTTTGATTAAACTAATTTGGAAAGGCAAGAAAGTGGTTTATGTGAAGAAACTGAGAATTGAGAATCCAGGGAAATAAATCAGGGCAAGGGAGTGAGTGCAAGCCAGTATTAAAAAGAAAATTAGCCAGATAATGTACTGAAGTCAGGGTGCAGGAAATGGCTTGTGAGATATCAATCCAGCCTTGACTCTCACTACCAAATTTTTTAAGCGAACACCCTAGATAGACCTCTGTCAATTATTTATTTTGTATTGACTTCCTATATTTGGAACATGTTATTAGGGAACAGAACATTAACAAGAATACTAGCGTTCTTTGATTAGAAGGGATATTGAAGGCCATTTAGTCTGATTCCGGATAATATTTCAAAGGCATTTAATGCAGGCCAGGCTATGTGGAAGTGTCTTGACCATGTTCAGCACAATGGCATCTGTGAGGCGACATGGACGTTGTCACTTTGCAAACTTTTAATTGTTCTTGATTGGCTCATTCACACAGTACCTTTATATCATCCAATTAAGACAAATTCTGTGCTTGAATTTTGCTAATGAGTGGCCTATTTGCTTTTAGGTTTGGAATTTGGAATGGTTCAGTGGTGGACATATTTCTGTACCTTTTAGAGGGGATATGTGTAAGGTGAGGAGCATCTGGGTTGGCCCAAAGTTGTCCACTTCATAAGTTATGATATACTTTCTCAGGCTAGATTCTTTGGATCTTGTATCATAAAAGAACCATGGCATAATAATAATCATCACTATAGTATTCTTTTATGACCAACAATTTCATTTAGCACATACTAAGTATCAGGTACCTTCCACTTTTCTGTTTCTTTCTTTCTCTTTTTCTCATGTTAGGGGTATATGTATATAGGAGGCAATTGTGCTGTGTTTGCTGAGAACGTGACTCCCTACTTGGACCCACAAATTAACCAAAAGCAAGTGTAAAGCTAGTTATCTCAGTTTCTATTGTATTGCTATGATCTTTGTCCTGAACTTTTCTCTCCTGCAGTCACTTTTCAGATATCTTTGAAACTGGGATGGAGTGGACAGCAGACGGACCACCTACTTGGAGTCAATGACTGTTACTGTAACAAGATCCCATCTGACCAATCCTGAGACAATGGACCGTCAGACAAACTCTGAAACCACCTCCGGCTACATCTGGCCACCTCTAACCACTTCTGAACACAACTGTGAACACATCTGTTTGAACTGTGCATATTTATCACTTCCTGTCCCTAATCCTTTGTTTAGTTAACCCTATAGCTCATGTCTGTGCCCTGAAGATGGCTGACAATGGCTGCTTACACCATATCATCAATATTTCTCTGCTGTTCATCATTATCATCTCTTTATTTTGTGAATAGAAGTGAAATGACTGGACCTGACCTGTAAAATCCCAGGAGTTTGAGCCAAGATCCTAAAAATTCCGGTTTCACATGCATGCATCTTATCAATCAATCATTTAATAGTTTACAATGTTTAATCTTTGTATCTTTTGAGGGAGTAACTGTGATCTTTATGTTAGAATGAGGGAATTAATGTGTGGGAGCATGGAATGACTTGATCAAGGTTATTCAAGCACAAGTTAAATAGCATCATCTTTTAAAAGGGTAGTCCAGATGCCATTCACAAAGTAGGTAAGTGTAGAGTATAAGCAGGTAAAGTAATTTTCTCTTAGCAGAACTGAGACTAGAACACAGGTCTACTATTAGTGTTCCACCGTGTCCCCTTTTAAAAAGAAGTGGTTTCTAACATAGGTAGTACTCATCTATTTCTATGAGTCAAGTAAATGTAAAATGTTAATGTTGTCTTGAACTGAACTAAATATTTTTCTTTCAGAGGATAGGCATATTTTTCTAGAAACATTAAAAAGTACAAAGCTACCATCATGTAGTGGGAATGATGGGGAAAAATTACTGAGATGTTCCATTGAATGCATCAAGTACTCATAATATCCTTAGCATAGGCATGCATGCATGCTCCATTATATGCTGATTTTTGAAGCTTAACATGCAATAGAAAATAATTAGAAAAGGTAACGTTAAAACAGAAGACAATAAACTATGCAGACAAACCAGAACACTAAAGAACTCTCTAGTCATCACTGATTCATTGTTTGGAGTTCAGTAATTATATTAAAGCTGGAATTATAAAAGAGCCCAGACTCACCATTAAAATTTTCCTTTTTTGAGTCTTTCTTCTGTCTGGCTTTCTAGCCCTTGTACTTCAGCATGCTTAAGAGTTAGTTGCACAGGATTGTATATGCTCAAATAAAATGTGTTATAACATATGACTGCAAAAAGACTTGTTTTTGAACTCTGAGCCTGGGCACTGTCCCTCAGATCTTTAACTCAAGGCTAGTGCTCTACCATTTGAGCCACAGTGTCACGTCCGGCTTTTTCTGCTTATGTAGTGCAGAGGAATCGAACCCAGGACCTCATGCATGTGAGGCAAGCACTCTACCACGGAGCCACCTTCCCAGCCATGAAGGATATTTTTTTTTTAGTATTTTTTATTGTGAAAATATTGTACAGAGGGGTTACAATTACATGGGCAAGATAATGAGTACATTTCTTATCAAGCATTGTAGCCTCCTCCTTTGTTTACCCTTCCCATCCCTTCCCAGCCTCCCTCGGCCCCCCCCCACCCAATCCTCCCCCCCCCAACCAAGTTGTAAAGTTCATTTTCTACATGACAAATTGTACTTCTCATTGTTGCAATGGGTCCACCTGTACTGAAGGATATTTTTTGATGATGTGAAATTTCCTTCTTTAAGGATGGGCTTTAACTACCAGCACAACCATGTTCATTGCAGCATTATTTACCACAGCTAAGATATGGAACCAACCCAGATACTCCTCAGTAGATGAATGGACCAAGAAAATGTGGTATATATACACAATGGAATCCTATGCTTCCATCCGAGAGAATGACACCGCCCCATTTGTAAGGAAATGGTAAGACTTGGAAAAGCTATATAAGCAAAGCAAGCCAACCCCAAAGAAACACAGGCTACATGGTTCCCCTCATTTGTAATAAGAACATGGCTATGATATTCTTAGCAGAAAATCATAATGGCTCAATAACTAGGAGCATATGACCATATAAAATGAAGCTTATCAAAATGAACTGCAAGAAATGGAATTTTTTTTATAATTTACTGTTTGCAGTTCTTTCTTTTTCCCCCTTTGGTTTATGTCCTGTTGTCACTTTTTAATTTCTGTACTGTTTGCCTTGTATATAAGTTTATTCGAGTGGTAGAAGAGAAGGGGAATCACAGAAATGGCAGGACAAAGGGTAAACCAATGCAACAATGATACTCGGAGGGAAGGGGTGTTGTGGGGAGAGCAGGAGAAAATTAGGGAGAGGGTAACAATGTTCAAAAAGAAATGTACTCATTATCTTATGCATGTAACTGTAACCCCTCTAATACATCACCTTTACAATTAAAAAAAGGGATAGGCTTTAAACTGTTGGAAAAAATGAACATTCCATTTAAACCTACAGTTAGATTGAATGACTGGTAAAACCAGCAAAATAGCAACAATGGAAATAACAAAAAATACTATCTAGAACTATGCAGAAGATTTTTTTGGTGTTGCATAGCCATCACCAGAGACAAGTATTCCCTAGCAACTTTTTATTTAAAAAAAATTTTTTTTTTGGAAGTGGCACTGTAGCTCAAGTGGTAGAGCGCTCGCCTTGAGCTGAAGAGCTGAGGGACAGCACCCAGGCCCAGAGTTCAAGCCCCACGACCGACAAAATAAATAAATAAATAAATAAATAAATGTATGAACACTTAAAAAAAATTTTTTTTTTGGGTCCAGTCATGGGGCCTGAACTCTGGGCCTGGGCACTATCCCTCAGCTCTTCAGCTCAAGGCTAGCACTCTACCATTTGAGCCACAGCGCCACTTCCGGCTTTTTTTCTTTTTGCTTATGTGTTGCTAAGGAATCGAACCCAGGGCCTCATGCATGCAAGGCAAGTGCTTTACCACTGAGCCACCTTCCCAGCCCTCCCCTAGCATCTTGAATAGCATCTGTCAGAGAATTTAGAGCTTTAAAAGTCTATGACTTTCCATTCAATCAACTGATCATCCTCAAGCATTCATGGATCATCAAACATATATTAATTCTTTGATGGTGATTTTTTTTACTTAATTGCATCTCTAATGTTGTTCATGCACTTAAAAGTCTATAAAAGTGATTATTCTCATTGCATGTGAGTG